ACCCGACTGGTGGACACGGGGCATTGACACACATGGTGCCATAGAATGGCTTTAGTTTGGTTGGTTTTTGGTTTCAGCGGGCTCGTGGCTGTGTTATGTGCGACAAGAGACAAACCCGCCAATCGAAGTCTTGTCTTCTAGTGTATAATTTGTGAAATAAAATTAAATCGTGCAAGAGAATTGGCCTCCAGCAAGCTTGGCTCGGTCAAATACCAGGTACCCCTTCATGGATTTGTGTAGACAGATGTTATTTGTTTGAACATGTACTAGTGATTCAAAACTATCAATAAATTGACTATCAATACTATTGATAGTTTTGCACCACTAGAGCGAACACAGATGCCACACCGCCGCTCACCTCCCTTCCTTCTCTCCGCCCAAACTCCCGTCTTCATCATCACTGAAAGTTGAACCAAGTTGGGATGGTAAGTGCTTGGGCTAGTTGGTGTCCCATTTGAAAAAGATAAAGCGAGAAAAAGAAGAGAGCGACGCAAACTACTAGTGTCGCAAGACTATCGATAGTAAACCGCTGACAGTACTATTGATAGGTTTACGATAGTCGACTATCGATAGTACTATCCATAGCTTTTCGACAGTCGACTATTGATAGTAGTGTCTAGTTTTTCGATAGTCGACCATCGATAGTTTTTTTGCTATCGTGTCAGATTTCTGGCTACTTTCGCTACTATTGATAGTTTTGCATCACTAACAGGTACACTCTTTCAGCAGCGTCGAGGGTAAATCTGGCATCGACATCGCTGCACCCGAGCGATTTCCATGATGATGGTCTCTTTTCAGCGTCGTGCATTATGTGCCTCGGGCACTTTTGCCAGGCACTCAAGTTTTTTTCGACACATTTTTCACCCCAAGAGGCAACCCTGTGTGTCTAAATAAATTATTTGTAGTTTATTTAAATTCATAAATAGATCAAACAAATGTTTCTACTACAACCATGATTCCCCCATATAATCAGAAGCAACTTTTGGATTTGTTATGAAGGCAGAGCACGATGCTCTCAAGAAACAGTGACTACTTGCATTGTCTATATTTGCAGTCTTCTTTAAGATCGTAAATGTGTAAATATACCTTGTGCTTCTTATTGCACGACTAACACTTAAGCAAATTTCCAGTGTCATAAATAATTGGCCTCTCGACCCTTGTCCGACTTGGGGACCTCTCCATACTCTATGTGCGCCAGTGCTAACGCTGATTCCTTTCCCCGACGGTGCATATATACAATAATGTGCAGAAGTTGCACGCACAACGATGGCATGCAGTTAGGTAGTAAATATAAGTATCAGACAACACTTCACAAAGCAAGACAAATTAAAAAGTTGGGGCTCCTATTCACACGGTAAAGACAGTTAGTTCGCCAGCGAAGCTGTGGTATCGCCTGCAACGATTGCCCACTGCACTATACCAAAACGTTTTTTGTAAAGACCCTTTTCTTTGCAAATGCCACCAGGCGGTGCTCCAGTTTGACGTCCCAGCAAACTTCCGATTCACAGAAAGAATGAACAAAACCCACCTTGACATAGCTGCCTGAAATGTCAATGAAATGTTTAACCACCAGTTCTTCAGGTGAACGCCAAAAAAAGAACAACGAAGAAATGGGAGATGCTGTAACCGACTTATTTTTTGCGGGCTCAATATTTCGCAAGTCACGTTAAAGTTAAAGTTTTGGAATAATTCGCGGGTTCTAATTTTCGCGATGCGGTGGAATCTCAATATAGATTCCAATGTATTTACGTTTTACCAGAATCGTTCGCGTGACCTATTTTTTACGAAATGTAGGCGGTTTGCAAAATTTAAGTCCTTTACAGTATGTTAATAAGTTTCGAATATTTTGTAAACAAACTTTCCTCCTCCAAGACATTAAATTGTACAGCCGAATGCTCTCATTAAATCTTCAACCTTGCTGTCCGTGTAGCATTTATCCTTTCTAGCATGGGTGACATAAGCAAGCTCGACAGACTTGCAAAGACTGTGCGATCAGAAGTCGCTTGGGACGCAAGCAGCAATTCATGTTCGTAAACAGCGAAAGGGCCTATGTGAAAGACTGTATGGTGCCGTTACCACGGCAACTTATGAAACCACAATTTTTACCGAGAGACGCATGCGGGGAGCACTATGTGTTTCGCATTGTGCACGCCTAATTTATCATGTGGTTCCGACACTTGTGGTTTTCTTATTTGAAAACTACAAGTGTCAAAACTACACGATAGAAGACAAGGAGCGCACAATGCTTTTCTGTCCACTACTGTTCATTTGACAGACACAAAAGAAAACTTACCAACGAGTCAGATACAGCTTCGCTGTAAAATTGCGGTAAAACTCAACGAAAAAACAAATGCAACGTGTTCGCGAAGGGGAGGGAAGAGCGACGATTTGAAGCCACCTTATGGCGGCTATGTGACATGATTTCAAGATGGCAGCACCCATGTGACGGGGTGAAAAAAATATAAAATTTTAGAAATAAATTGAAGGGATGTCATAAAACCACTTGCAGGGGGGATTGAATAGCTTGGGAGCCCAAGCTACTGTTGCATTGGTAGGAGACTACATTTGGAAGATGGAGTGGCGGTAGCTGGCTTCAATCGCTGCGTTGGCATGTGCATCTGTTGACATTTGGTGACCATAGCAAGCAGTATTTATTGTCCAGGAGGAGACTGGTGTGGCGACATCAGGTGCATGCTTGTGCTCTTTTGCAGTGCTTTTCAATAAGGCCGCAGGACACGAACATAGAGTAGAGTTCTCAATAAGGACAATGTGGATGGCTGATATTTTCCAGCACCTAATATTTTGACAAGCCTTGCATGAAAAACATTTTTTTTTTCTTACCTGGAACATGGTGTTGAAGTATCAAACTGCCTCTGATGTTGTGAATGAAAAAAGATGCCACCAGAACATCTCTGTGCTAATAGTCGCCGACAAGATGAGAAACGCAGGGCATCTCTTAGCGCCCAGCCTCCAGCAAGCACTTGTCGCCTTTTCTCATGCTCTGTCTGCGTGTGCGTTCTGGAGGCTCGCAAGATGCCAAAGCATTGCCGAATGTAGGAGGCTCCTCCCTGCAATTCTTGTTGTCCTACATTTAGTCCTCCAAATCAGTACAAAAACATACAAGTCTATTCAACACCCGAACACTATTTGGGCGATATGTTAGATATAGTCCCTAACGGAATGAGAACGTCTGGACATGTCTTACAAATGCTTGAAGCATTGCCAAAAGTAGGAAGCTTCTCCCCACCGTCCTCATCTTGCGAGTTGCTAGAGTTATTAAACCATTTTAAATGTGGCAATGCTACACCATACAATAACGGTTTTTACAAAAGCAATTTCTGGTTGATCTTATCAAAAGCTTGCGATAAATCGAAAAAAATATAGACTTGCTTCCAAGAAAGAAATGGCACCGTGCATTCAAGTGTGCAGAAACTAATTTCTAAATCTGGGGATATGCATGCTTCAGTGATGGGGCAAACAAAATCAATGCTGTTCTTAACAATAAAAGAAGATAAATCTGGACCCAAAAACAGCCTAGCTTTAATTTCTTTATTGCTTTCAACATTTCGGTGTCAACTTCCTTGATTGCTGAAATGTTAGTCAATATTACTGAAGAAAAAGATGTGCTTTTATTGACCAACGTGTGAACGCTGTAAAAACATTTGTAGCAAACAGCAGATCTCCAACAATATCTGGACCCGCTTGGCAATGGTAGCAATGTGTGTACATATGTTCTTAGATCTAGGTCAGTTGACAAGCTTCGGAAAACGCCCGACGCCTTTTTGCGGCGCACCCGCTTAATGGCACCTGCTACACGATCGGCCCGTCATATGGACAGATCCGGTGAAACGTTGGATGCACGTTACCTGCGGCAGAAAGTGACTTTATTAAAATAACACAATACCTTACAATAAACATAAGGTCTTCACAATACTTAATGCAAAAAGAGCGTCGTTCAAAAAATGTTCTCTGTTGACCATGGAGGCATTGACGCTGTGGTGCTAGGAATGTTATCTACCTATACCTGCTTGCGTGCCAGCAACAGAGAACTGTTTTCGAACGCTGCTTTTCTGTGGAGCTTGTCAACTGATAGATCTAAGAATGTTGGCATGTAGGGCCTGAGTGGAGGCACCTATTTTCTCAAGCACCAGTTTAGAAACCCCCATTTTATTGAATCCTTTCAAAAAGACAAACATTTAAAGGGATACTTCAACGAAATTTGAAATATTCCCGTTGTGTTCAAAAATAGGTTGAATATGATCCATAATATCCGTAAATGACAATCGCACGTTTGTATTTTGATCCTGGTGGCTGTATTTTTCGTTATAAACGGCCCACTCTGGCAAGCGCTCGGAGAAGGCCCAGCTTAGAGCACGTGACATCCAACGCAATCGCGACGTAGGTCGTCTCAAGACGAGCAAAGCTACGGCGAGGCTGACGTCGAGAGGATGGCCTAGTTGTTCCAGCCACCGAAGCGGCTGCTTTTGTACGAATTTTGAGTGACGGGTTAATCTTCTATAATCTTCTAGGGGGACAATAGCGACTTCTGCGACACACAAAAGGGATTCTCGGGAAGAGGGGAGTTCCTCCTTCCCCCCCTTCTCTCGTCGTGGCCGGAGACGAGACAACCTCCGTCACTAGCTGTTAAGGTTCCTAGACGAGCATCACAAACGAGGCTTTAGCGACATCCACCAGGTGCTCTTTGCTAATCGTTTAATTCGTTCTAAAATTCCTTTTTGAGACTTTTTTAACAAGATATTGGTATGTTCCCTGTGATACTGCTCTTTTGAACACATATAGACCAAAAAATGAGCGCCGAAATTTCGTTGTAGTATCCCTTTAAGAGAAAATGGCAACAAACTTGCTTTTCGCAAATTCAGGAAAACGCAATTCACCGAGCTCGACTGCTTGCTCTGCCTTGGCCGACGGTAAAGCCGAGCCAGTCAGCGAATCGTTCGCTTGGGCGGCCAGCACATTCAGAGTATGATAGACATGTTTTGTGCATGTCACAACCCTGCCGTTTTTGCAATTACATTCTGCCTGGTTTACAGCCTAAGAGAGAAGAGCGAGTGCTCGAAGCATAGGCAAACACGCCTCAGTGAATCGCGCTAGCATTTAGGGGCTTCCAGATTTGCTTATGCCAATTGAATAGATTCACTAAATGGCAATCCTTTTTCAATAACTGATGTTGCTGTAAACTGAGCTTCGATAAAATGGTCCCGTTCTCGAAAACATGCTTGTATGGAATTGTGTTCGGTCAACTGTCGTAGACCTCTGCACGAGTGAAACTGAGCAGTAGTTGTAGGTGCAGCACATTCTGTAAGCATAAAATAAAGGCACCAAACAAAGCACCTCAGTGATGCCTAGCAGACCACCAAACAAATAAATATTTAACACGGGGTACTATTCTGTTTCATATCTCCAACATTACCGTCCCGCTTCGGTCGCTTCGTCCCGCTCGTCAATATACTTCGTTTCAGCTTCGGTCCAGACGCAGCGAAAGCGACAAGCGCGAGCCCCGGGCTTTCAGCATCCCTGCCAAGCACGCGCGCTCGTGCAGTGCAAGCACTGTTCTGGGCCACATGCTCGCGCTTGTAGCATCGGCTGCGTCTGCACCGAAGCTGAAACGAAGTATAGATTGTTGACAGCTGCCCCGCAAGGATGCTTTCCGGACATGCGGAAACATCTCAACACAAGCGCTATCCACCCCTGCTTAACCACATGTTCTTTACGAACATAACTCGGCTTCCTAGCAATATTTTAAACGCCATAAGTTAAAGAATATTTTCAAAACAGTAAAAGCCTATCTTGCAATTGCGCAACATAAACAGAACAGTGCAGGTAGAGCTGCATGGGCACTTTCTACTTGTCCGGATTCATACAAAATATGATTGTCGTTAGCAAACTTTTAGGTAATGAAAACAGGAAAATGATCAAGAGTGTGTGATGGGTTTGGAAGGGAAGGAAACGTGGACAAAAGGCAAACGCAAGCAATTTAGAACAGACGAGACGACCCACTGTGCTAATGCTGAACAGACGAAACGACCCACCGAGCTAATGCTCTGTACGAACAATATCAACCTTAAATGCTACTTTCTGTACAAATACAAGATACCCACGATATTACGCGATAAATAGCCACCAAAATTAACGTACCGATTGGGCAGTGCTGTTCGTAAATCAAGTAAATCGCCGAAGTCACAGAACGTTCACGAAACAAAACGGCCATCTTGGAAAAATAAAAATAGTGATGGTGATAGCGATGTGTTCTGTAAAAACTCCGAGGACAAATGTAGTCAATGTTTTTTCTTTAAATTTATGTATGGCACCTGCAAACGCTCTGGAAAACATACTTCACCTAGCAAAACTTCATTAAAATCATGGTGACAAAATAGTCTAAAGTTTAGGCATTTAGACGTGTTGAAATACACTTGGCAATGTCTATGTGGAGTGCAAGTTCGTCCGTTTCTTTTGCAGGTGTTGTGGTGATGTCAGAATGCAGAGCTCTGATTGAAGGATAGTAGGTAGACCTGAAGGCAGCTAGCATTGTGTACCCACCATCCTTCAATCAGAGCTTGGCATTTCAACGTCACTACAACCCCTGCAAAAAAAAGCAGAAGAACCTGCACTCCGCATAAACCTTTTCTCAGTAATTAAATGCAAACAGAACAGACCTGGGAACCCTTCTTGCTGATAGCCTTTCCTTGAAAGTGTGAATGGTCAAAAGTCAATGCCATGATAAGCTGAAATACTTCGGACATAGCATGCTAAGGTGGCAAGAAAAATTAAACGGGGACAGCTATCTTCTTTTCATCAAACTTTTCGGAGCTTCATCTTTTGTATAATTACTGTCGTATAAAGAAGACAAAGTCTGGCGGCATGTGAGACGGTGAGCTGGCCGGGCCACGCGTGAGGGTCCGAGATGCGCATGACTGGCAGATACGCTGAAGGTTCGATAAAGGACTCACGGGTATTGGTTTGCGGCCCCGGGCTTTGACCTTTTTCTCGCCTCGGAACACGACATGGTGGCAGCAGTGGGATACTGAACAATCCTCCATCGTTTCTCGGGACCTGAGAAGCCGCACCAAACTCTGCAGTTCGACCGAATGGCCAGCAAAGAAGATTCGAGCCGCTGCTAGATCTACGCCACGACTAGCAATGCAGACGGTTCGAGGGCTTCAATCTCCCAGGCCAGCGGAGGACCTTCCTTCTTCGACCCCTTTGCGGTCGAGCTACCGGAGAAGCTGGATTTCAGGAATCCGAGCGACTGGAAGGGATGGATCATTCAGTGGGACCGCTACCGGATCATCTCGGGGCTTCATCTCTGCGACGCTTCGACTCAGGTGAAAACCTTCATCCAAGCGATGGGCAGAGGATGTCCTTTCTTCGCTCGAGATGACACAAGAGGAGCTGAACGACTTCGACATAGTCAAAGCTAAGTTCGACATGCACTTCATTCCGCAGGTGGACGTCATCTTTGAGAGAGCGAAGTTCAATTCTAGAAAGCAAGAGCTGGACGAGCCTGTGGAGGTCTTTATCACGGCATTGCACAGATTGGCGGATACCTGTGACTACGGCCCTTTACGGGACGAGCTCATATAGGACCGCATTGTCGTCGGACTCCTGGACAGGAAACTAAGTGAGAAACTCCAGCTCGATGCTAAGCTTACACTGCAGCGCGCGACTACGGCAGCTTGAACATCAGACGGTAAAGCGCCAACAGACTGAGCTACGCAGCACAAAGACAGACGGCGACATTCTTGAAGAACTCGGAAGACAGCCGAAAACAAAAAGCGAGAACAAGGACTTTGGACGTCCGAACATGTTGCCTCTCCAAGCCCTGTCCAATAATTCGCCATGGACGTGCCGATGGTGTGGCAGTTCACGGAAACACGCCAAGTCTCAATGTGCCGCAAAAGGCAAGAAGTGCAACGCCTGCAAAAAGCTAGGCCACTTTGAGAGCGTCTGTTTTTCCAAACACACTCGAGAAAATTTCAGTATACAAGAGCACAGACAAGGACTGAATGAAGTCTTCCTCGGCGAGTTCGTACATTCAAGCAACGGGCAATGTACCAGGGGAAACCTGGTACATTACAGCCAAAGTAAACAACCAAGACATCACATTCAAGGTGGACACGGGGGCGGACGTCACAGCTATCCCTCCCAATATGTGCGACGCGACAACATTTGCAACTTTGCAGACAACAGGGACGGATCTTTATGGAGCAGGCCACACTCCGCTGAACACGCTAGGCAAGTTCACGGCGACGGTAACCTGGAATGGGCGCACTACTAAAGAAATTATCTATGTGTCCGACCAGCTAAAACACCCACTGCTGGGGCGGCCTGCAATTGAAGCCCTTCAGGTGCTACCTAGCTTGAACGAAGTCAAAGCCGAAAGCAAGCCGGAGTATGACCACCTCCGTAAAAGTACCCCTTGCTTTTCCAAGTACAAGATCGCGCTTCACCCTGATGCGAGACCATTCGCAATCACATACCCGAGACGGGTACCTCTACCTCTGCTACCCAGCACTCAACAGGAATTGCAACGGATGCAAGACATGGACGTTATTGAAAAAGTCGACCATGCGGCAGCATGGTGCGCACCCATGGTGGTGGCTAAAAAGCAAGACAGTTCTCTTCGTATCTGCGTTGACTATACACAGCTAAACCCGCAACTGGTGCCGGAGCGGATTATCATGCCAACCATAGAGGAGAGCTTGGCAAGACTCGCCAGGGTGACAGTATTCAGCAAACTAGATGCCAATGCCGACTACTGGCAAGCACCACTAGCCCCAGAGTCAAAGGAACTGACGACTTTTATCACACCAGTGGGACGGTTTCAATTCAAAAGACTCCCGTTTGGCATTGCGACAGCGCCCGAAGCCTATCAGCGGGAGATGCTAAGGATCCTAGAGGGAATCCCAGGTCAAGTATGTCATATGGATGACATCTTAGTTTTCAGTCGTGACAAAAGGGAACACAACATAAATCTTGAGTTGGTACACCGCCGCCTCCACGACTCTGGAGTGACCCTGAACACCTCAAAGTGCGAGTTCTCCAGAAAGAGCATCAGGTTTCTGGGCCACCTTCTGGACAGCAGGGGCATTGCGGCAGACCCTAAGAAAACGGAAGCGATCGTCCAGATGTCGGCACCTGGAAGCTTGGCAGACCTGCGATCATTCTTGGGGATGGTCAACCGCCTTGGGAAATTTCTTCCCGACATAGCCGAGAAACCTAATCTACTTCGAGATCTGCTACACAAGGATGCTAGCTGGCTCTGGAGCGAGCCTCAGGAAGAAGCATTCCTTAACATCAAAGATCTCCTATGCAAGACTCCTGTGCTCACACTCTATAAACCGGATGCACAACTTACATTGTCGGCAGATGCGTCTTCGTTTGCACCGGGGGCGGTTCTGCTCCAAGAGGAAAACGGCAAAAGACGCCCAGTAGTATACGCATCGAGAGCCACGACACAAATGGAGCAGAGATACGCCCAAGTTGAAAAGGAGGCTTTGGCCATCGTATGGGCCTGTGAACATTTCCGGACCTACTTGGTAGGAAAGAGATTCCACATCGAAACAGACCACAAGCCTCTGGTGCCACTGTTCACAACGAAACGTCTTGACGAAATGACACCAAGGCTACAGCGTCTGAGGATGCGCATCTTTGAGTATGACTTTGCAATATCCCACGTACCGGGCAAAGAGATGTTCACCACGGATGTCTTCTCCAGGAAACCCCTACCGACCACACGCCAGTCTACAGACTCAAGGCACACCGTAGAGATCAGTGAAACGTTGGTTCACGAGTATGAAATGCTAACATTGGAACTCCTTCCAGCCTCTACCTCATTTTTGTCCAGACTGAAGGCAGAGCTTTCCAAAGACCCAACCACATCAAGGGTTATGGAATACAGCGAAAAACAATGGCCGGCAAGGAACAAACTTCCTCCTAACTTAAGCAAATTCGCGAGTCTCGCCGCAGACCTTTCGGTCGTGCAGGGATTACCAATGCGTAACGACCGGCTGGTGATCCCGCCTAGTCTGCAAGGAGAAGTCTTGGAGCGATTGCACAGCGGCCATCAGGGTGTTGTCCGATGCCGGGCAAGAGCCAGAGACTCCGTCTGGTGACCTGGCTTAAGCACGAAAATACATGACTATGTGAGTCGCCGTCCTACTTGTCGGCAATATAGACGACCACATACAGAACCCCTTCTTCAGACTCCACTACCCGATCGTCCCTGGCAGGAAATTGGAACGGACCTTTTCCAGTTCAGGGGGAAGAAGTATATAGACATCGTCGACTACTACTCGAAGTTCTTCAAACTTGAAGAAATACCTCGAACAACCACAGAGGACATTATCAAGGTTTTCAGCCAGAACTTCACTAGACACAGTTGCCCAGAAGTCATCCGCTCCGACAACGGTCCCCAGTTTGGCTCAACCAAGTTCCGGTGATTCGCCAGAGAGTGGGGAGTCGAACTGGTTACTTCAAGCCCGTATTATCCCCAGAGTAACGGAGAAGCGGAGAGAGCGGTGCAGACTGCGAAGAAAACCTTGAATTCAGCACAAGCTCTTCTGGCCTACCGAACCATCCCTGGGCCCAAAGGGTTTTCCCCTGCCGAACTTTTGATGGGGCACAAGTTACACTCCACTCTTCCAACGGCGCCCAGTACCTCTCTGGCAACACTCCAGGAAGTATCGGCAATGATACAGGAAACGGAAGACAAGAGAGGCGTCTAACTATAATAGGCGCCGCCGTACAAGAAATGGCAGGGAGCTACACCCACATGCAGCAGTGTGGATTCAGGCGGGAGCGGCCGGACCACCTTGGTCTTACCTTGTAGAAACCGACCAGGGAACGATACGACGCACACGGCACCATCTCCAGCCCGCGATTCCCGACAGCGACAGCCAGCCGGCCGGTTACTGGGAGAACGATCCTCAAGCAACCATAACACGAAGTGGGAGAATTTCACGACCACCGGAACGCTATGGACGATGAGGCTGAAAGGGGGAGGCGTCGTATAAAGAAGACGAAGTCTGGTGGCATGTGAGGCGGTGAGCTGGCTGGGCCACGTGTGAGGGTCCGAGATGCGCGTGACTGGCAGATACGCTTAAGGTTCGATAAAGGACTCACGGGTATTGGTTTGCGGCTCCGGGCTTTGACCTTCCTCTCGCCTCGGAACACGA